TAATTCAGCTCCTTACTGCCTGCTATACAATTTTGAAGTTAGTTCAGGGGAATCAATAAAATATTGGAATTGGATCAACTAATAACCCCCTAATTGATATTTTCTTTCCTCTCATCACTTGTCTGCTTGATGTAGTGCTGACACTGTAACGGAAGATTCTTTCTTGGTCACTCATGGGAGTTAATAAGGTTAAGAATAAGTAACATCTTTATAATTAAAAGATAAAATGACAGTTTTAACAGAATTTGAATTTTTTTTTTTAATCAATACACATAACTGGTAATTGCATGCTTCAGCCGAGCCAGAGTGTTCCATTTGTGCTACTTCCAAATTATATGTATAGCATACAAACCTTGATGGTTTTGTCTCTGGATCCTGAAACAATTACTTCTCTAAAGCAGTCCACACTGTGAACTTGTCCAGTATGCCCAAGGTATAGGCCATTACATATTCCTGTTTCCAGATTCCATGTGCGGACTGACTTGTCCATACCACATGTTAACAACTGCCCTCCAGTAATCACAAACTTACTGATATCACCCTGGTGACCACCAAAGGTCATCAAAGGTTTCCATGAAAAATGTCCTCCCTTATTGTGTTTTCTTATCTGATACAAGATAACATCAGCAGCTTGGGCAACAAAGAGTTCATGATGTCTTCCAAGTTGAATCCACGGCATAAGGCTAAAAATGACAAAAGAGTATTTTAGATACGTTTAAACTGTTCATGTCCATTGTGAACCCATGGATGCCCAAGAGTGACAAGCTTCTAATTTCTTCTTTCAACATCTCCCCTGAATCAAGCATCAAGGCCACAAGAATAAGGGGAAATGATCACCAACTAAAGCTCTTGATGGTTAAAAAAATCCTTGTCAGTACCCTTGGAAATGCAAGGTTACTGCATGGAGAATATGCATACTGTTGTTTGAGTTAATAGAGGCTTAATTTTCAACAATTACATCCAGTTGTGTACAAAAAGTAAACAAGAAACTCTGCTCTCTAAGTGCTCATTTTGATTGGCTGCAAGGAAAAAAATTATCATAAAGGTGATAATTTCAAAATGCATCCATCCAACTAATGGATATAGAACTGATCAAAAATTTTAAACGATTCACCCACTTAACACTTTCACCTTAGGAGAGATTGCCTTCTAATTTCTCCTTACAGTTTTACTGCTGAATCAAACAATGAAGGTCATGAGAGCAGGGAAATGGATCGCCAATTAGAGATTCTATTGATAGGAAAACAAATTCTCCATGTCAGCTCCATATACATGTAAATAGAATGATGTTTTAAGAACAGTATTGAGAATATAGATACCCATGTCGAAGTGCAAAGGGTTAAAAAGAACATTGTGTGAAGTAAGTTGCTTGATAGACATGAAGCATTACTTCTGGATAAAAATCAATTTTTGATTTTGATTTACCCTGTATGAGCATAAGATAGGGCTAAAAATTTATTAGGGTTTTATAGTACAGAAGAGTCCTTGACTTTTGCTCAGACAAAATAATTTGGTTTTATCCACTGAGTTGATAAAGTAAATTGGCCAGCACATAAAGAGTTTCTAAAGCTGGTACAGTAAACAATTTAAAACTCAGTTGACAAAACCAAATTATCTTGTAATGATCCTCATCAATGCAGCACCACAGTTTCTTCAAAAATTTTGACAAAAAGGTATGAACTTACTTGCATTTAAACCTGATTATAAATCTGTCTTTACAATATCCATGTGTCCAGTTCCATGAGACTCTACAAAGCTCTTTCCAGCTAAGAAGGCCCCTGATACATAATTCAAGTTATGGTTACTATTAAAACACTCAGGAAACAAGATGATGATTGAAGTCACTGTAATAAACAGTGGCCACTTCCGTAGCTAAATTCAATGGCTATAAGACCTTAAATACACTTTCTGGCAAATAATTTCTAAATAAATGCATTTGGAAGTTATACTACCATTACTGAAAACACTCCCCTTAGCCCTGATCAAATGAGGATGTATTCCAAAATACCTCCAGGTTATGTTTATGTTGATCAGCATTAAGAAAAATTTCATATCTTGCAAATTATATTCCCACAATTTTTGAGAAATTGGGCAGCCCTTAAAATTTAAGGTATGGGGTGACTCCTTTCATATAACTTGAGCTGTATTTTTATTCTCAGGGGGGGAGGGAGGTTCCTTCTAGAAATACACTAATGGGGATGTGTTATGACTGGGTTTGCATTTTCAATTGAGTTACTGGAATGGGTCACACATTTTTAGGGATTTTTGAGCTAAGAAAATTTGGGTAAGTAAGATTTCTAATTCAAAATTTATTAACTTAAGGGTCATGACAAAATTACATTTACCCAAATATGACAAAGATAGGGTATATAATTGGCCACAGAGTAGACTGTAATAGGGGTAGGAGTTCTGAGAGGTCAGAATCATGTACCCAGCAAAAATTGACCTTGGTAGTTCCCATGCGGTTTATTCACTGCACAAGAGAGGGTTTATTTTATGATGCAAATCAAGCATCTTTAATATTTACTCACATCCTTTTTTAACTCCCAAGATCTGATTGGTAATTCTCTCATCTAGTTGCTAGATATATCCTTTTAAATTAGTAATGAGAAGTTGTTGTTTAATCAGGACAACTTTTACCTGATAAATTTGAATATTCTCATGAGCAGTTTGCTGGATTATGTAAGGATATCACTAGGAGAAGTTTCACATTGATTACTTCTGGGAGTTAAAGGGATATCCAATACATTAGAACATCTACCACAAATACTTTACTTCTCACAATATGACTGGAGTATCAAGACCTAAAATGTCCAAAATCTTGACAAATTTAAATTACCCTATGATTTCATAAGTGTCTCTTCCCTAGGCCATAATGTCAAATAAGCACCCCTCTTGAATAAGGGCCCCCCCCCCCCCACCACCACCACCCTCCTCTTTCACTCTCTTGACCCTTTAACTCCCAGATCAAATTTGTCATTCTCCTTATTATCAATCATACATTTCTTACAGTGTTAGTTCAGGGAATTTAGTATTGAACTAATCATCCCCAAGTTCATATTTTTCCTTATTCTCATCACTTATCTAGTTGATATTGTACTGATATTGTAAGGAGAAATTCTGTCTTGGTCACTCATGGGAGTTAAAGGGTTAAATAGTAAGGATACAAGGAAAACCCTGTTTTTATTGCCACTTTCTTTTTAACTCTTGAAGCTTAAACTACAGCAGATTAAGAACAAGGGAACAATAAACACCCCCCTCGATTAAGCACCCTCCTTCCCTCCTTTAGCTAATAATTTCAAATAAGCGCCCGGGCGTTAATTCGAGGAAATACGGCGGTACATGCCCCAAGCCACGTTCTCTGCCACAACCAAAGTAACCCGAGGGGACCTGTGTGGGGCTTATCAATCTGTTTTTAACTTACGTTTTGTCGGAGGAATGAACATTAACACGCTGCAAAGCAATTCTTCTCCAGATGGAATCATCCTTCGCCACACGATACAGATTCCTACTTACACGAGACAACACCGACAGGCTTTTTGTATCACAGAAACGTAAAATGGCCAACAAGACATCGTCAGGCAACGTGTTCAAATTTATGACGCACTTGGCCTCGCTCTGGTTCGACGGCATTGAAGAAAATCAACGACGAACTACAAGAAACCAATCCCTTTTCAAACAAAGACTTCGCTGTATTTCTCATGCTAAAGAAAGTAAATAATTATCTGTTGGAGCAGACTGTGCAACTTCTCAACCCGAATGTAATTCTCCACAACCAAAACACTAGTTCCCAGTTTCTTGCATTATTTCTTTCTGACAGATCCCAGTAGATCCCAGGATTCCTTGTCGAAATGTCCCCCACGACCCCGTGCGGCATCACACGAGTCCTGCAAACTGCAATACCTCTGTCAATTACCTCCTTGCAATTGGTTGACTACCAAAGACAGACGAGTAGACATTCTTTAAGCTCGGTGTATAAACGAACGAGCGAACCAAACTGCAATCCTGCAAACTGCAATACCTCTATCAATTACTCCTTTGCAATTGGTTGACTACCAAAGGTGGACGCGTAGAGATTCTGTAGACTCGGTATATAAACGTACAAGTTACCAAATTCCTCTTCTTGCGACGTTTTTCTCAAATGGAGGCAATAAGTAATAAAAAATCTCACCTTGATGTGTTGAGTTCAATATTTTCTTGCTTGTGACAGCTACTCTATGTTCATGCTAAACGAACCTCAAAGTCTTTTTCCGCGGAACTATCTATCCATCAGCTGAGGTACTTCGCTGCACCTGGTTCCATCTTGGTTCCTTGATGTGGTGATCCACTCACTAGGTCCTCAGCTCGCAGATAACGTAACGGCCTTAAGGATCATGGAGACTAAAGGAGCAATTTGAGAGAAGAATTGAACAAGTTATCTAGCCAATATTCACGGGTTACCCTTTAGCAAGGCATAGCATCAGTAGGTCGCCTTCTTCAGGTTATGCTGAAGGGATTGGCAGAAGCTGTAGGATGTTGCAGGCGTGGTTGCTGGATCTACACTGAAAGATCTTTCGTAGGTGAAAAGACGATAGACAAGACTTGACCGATTTTAAGCTTTATAATAATCTGAATTACATATGCACTCTCAATAATGATCTACTGGAGGACAGAAGCATAGATGGCGTACGTTATAATCAACAATTTTTTTTCTTTGCCTTATAAAACGAGATAGATTCCAATTGCAGACAGTTACTAGAGTACTAAAACGTTTTCCCGTGCATGTGTTGCATTCTGATGTTTGCTGTTTATTACGATATGGTTCATCCACACTACGTTTTGTTGTCGTTAAGATCATTACTCTGAGTGGGATTTTGGCCTGGTGTGCCACCCCTGTGATCTTCAATGGAGTTAACCGACCATGGCGTCTTCGTTGGAATGCTGCAGGCAGATGTTACAACATACTAGATGTGATCAGCGATCTGTTCTGAAGGGAGGCTCCACAAAAATGTTTTGGAAATGGAAATCCAAGCGAAAATGAAAAGGAAAAGAAGTGCAAAGATGCCTATAGCCGATATTAAAGAGACCCTTACATAAATCCTTGCAAACTAGAATTTCTGATTCTTTTAAATCCGTCAAGCGTGTCTCCAGATGCTGATAATATCACGAGGTGTACATTCAGGAATCTATGCTATGAAATCTATGATCAGGAGACCATGACACAAAAGCGGGTGACGCTCCAGAGATCCTACACTAAGTTCAAATAAGGAGGTAAATATCTGCTACGCCTTTAACTGCCACAGGTCTCACTCGAGATTTAAAAAGGATCGCTGACGATGTTTATCTCGTTGTTTCCGTCGATTTCACCCCTGGTTATATGTTGTTCAGTCGTTCTTGCCGTTGGCATCGCGTGCCTACTTCGCCATGTTCTGATGCGTCAGAATGAAGACGAAATCTCTCACGCGGGTACTGGAAAGATTTCTCGCCGACTAGGTTCCTTCGAAAGATACTTCTCAATCATCGCCTCAGGATACAGCACTTGCTACCTGAACACTGTGCTCCTGCTGGAATCTAAAGTAAAACTTGATCCAGGGCATCTGAAAACAGCTCTGCTTATGTTGTCCGAACGATTTGCATTACTACGAATGCGTATAACTGTCGATAATGTCTTCCAGCAATGTTTTGAAGAGATGGAGGACCCGCAAAGTTTGGAATTTCAAACAAGAATGGACATAGACTCAGAAAACTGGCTGAGTGCGTTCAACGAACATATCAATTTTGCACCATTTAACACTGAGAAAGGGCCTTTATGGCGTGTAACACTACTCAGGGAGACTACTGAAAGCGAAGGTGAAGGAATTCTCTACAAAAATGCATTGTTATTTACTTTCCATCATATCATTTGCGATGCCCGATCTGTGTTTGAATTTAAAAACAAACTGCTGCAATTCCTGGGCTCACTGTACAACGGGAAGGCCATGAAAGTTGAAACTCTAGCGTTTCGTCCAACACTGGAGCGCATGACATTGAATCTAACCAAACCAAATATTTTGGAAAGATTGCTAATTCCACTGCTCGTGGGGTGCAGTAAGCTAAGCGCTATGATTCGCAAACCCAAGATGGCAAATTTATATTTATTAAAGTTTCCTCCCAATGTTCGTGATTCACTGGCACAGACCACGCACGCAATACCTCGATGCTTAACTAAAGAACAAACAATGGCTTTAGTAAGTTGCTGTAAGGCCAATGGTTGTACAGTGCACGGCGCTATTACTGCAGCAACTCACTTAGCCATGAAACAAATTATTGAACCGGAGCAAACTGAACAAAAACCCCCGTTATTGTTTGACAGTAATTATACTGTTGACATCCGACAACAATGTGAACCCAAACTTGGAAGAGAAGAGTTTGGGCTGTATGCAACGTTCGATGCACTTCAAATTGAAGTGAAAGGAACAGAGGAGTTCTGGGATTTCTCGCGCACTTGTACAAACAAAGTTCACCGAAAGATCGACTCAGGAGAGCACATGAACTTTTTAAAATTAATACAATGTGTGAACTTACCATCCTTGTGGAATTTATTTTGTTCTGAAACCAAGCATGGACAACGAAAAGAACTATTCAACTTGACTAACCTCGGAGTTCTGTCCATTGATCAAGAAGGAAAATCTCCCTACAAGTTTGCTGGTGCGTATTTTGCCGTTCAAAGTGCCAAGTTTCCTTTTATCACTGGAAACGAAATATTTACGATCAATGACCAGCTGTACTGGACCGTGGAATATTCTCCTGAAATCATTACGAGATCTCGAGCGCAAGACTTTGTTGATTTATCACTTCGTATTCTCATGGATGCCTGTATCTCTTAAATTACTTAACATTTCTTCACCGAAGAGGAGGCAGCCAGTGGTAATATCCACCCCTAATCACCTCCACTCTAGTGAATGGTTGCTTATTATATACTAAAACAGTGAGATAATGTAGAACGAAAATATTATTTTATCTCATTTATTCCTGCAGCGTTTACAATGTTTTCGGGCTTAAGTCCCACGGGAGATGTTCGTAGGTGAATAGCAAAGGGCATTCGGAGTAGCCAATCAGAGCGCGCCTTCAACGCTTGCCACTATTTTAATATGCAGCTTTTTCGAGAAAAATGGCGAAAGTTGTCAGAAAAATTTACACGCGACAATCTCGAAAGATAGCCTGGGTATCTGGTAATCAAAGAATTAATAAGACAAATAAATATAATGAAATCATCAAACCCGTTGTGCCTCGTACGTATAATGAGTCTTGAGTTAAGGAACCGTGACCTGAAAACTACTTAAAATACCTTTTG